AAAAAAAAAAAAAAAAAAAAAAAAAAAAAAAAAAACGTACTTAGGATCAAATTGTGTCCCTCCTACATGCTAAGCCACCTTGAGGGTGTATGTGCATGTGTGTTGTATGTGTGCACACATGTGGAGGTTACAGGCTGACTTGCTCTCCTTATTCTTTGAGACAGTGTCTCTCTCTATGGTCAGACTGGCAAGTGAGCTCAAAGATCTGTTGTCTCTGTCCCTGTGACACTGGGTGACAGTCACATGCCTAGGTCTTGAGCAGTAGGAGGTTTTTCCACTGAGCCATCTGCCCAGGTCCCTCAGCCCAGAGGTTCTAAGGAATGCAATGCCTACCTGGTAGTGATATGCAGGCTGCTGATAAACCGGCTGAGCTACCATCACAGGAGAACTAGATATGGATCGCGACTGTGGGAGGAAGCAAAGTTTACTTTAGGAAAAACTCTTTAAATTACAGTAAAATTTTATCTTGAATTATTACCTAAGATCAGTTAACTTTCGATTATTGATTAAAATGTTATTTTTTATTTCCTCTTATGGTATTATTACCAACTTTATTTAAATCTACTTACTAAAATAATCAATTTTCCTATGTGGCTTCATTTCCATAGTAACACTAAAACACCAGTAAAGTTTCTTTAAGTCTGAAACTTAATACCTCCAAAAGTTATGAAAATAGAGGTCAATTATTAAAAAAAAAAAAGGCACCTGAACTAAGGGTCACAGCCTATTTCCACTGCAGAAACCAGAAGTAAGTTGTATTTACAATAGCAGGTAACATCAAATGAATAATCATATGTTGATTTTTCCATTTCTTATAACCAGTATTCTATTCCATTATTATATATTTAATTAAAATATTGTTTATTGAAATACAGTGAAATCATGTTTAAGTAATTTAATATTTAAATGAGTTAATAATCCAAAAATTGTGATAGGTCTGTATGTGAGGAAAATAAAGTATCTTTTGATTATTCAAAATGACAAAGTAAGCTCCCAAAGAGATTACTTAAGATCAGGTAATTAATAAAAAAGGTATATATTATTTCAATTAGAGGCAAAATAAACTGATGATAGTGATTAAAATTTAATTTCTAATTTGGGATGTAGTATAATATTATTTTGTTTAAATGCCCACAACCCCAAAGTCAACAAAAATATAAAAATATCATGGTTTTATCAATTCAGACTTGATATGCTAATAAAATTATAGCACAGATAAGGCTAGAAAGTAATAGTACATTTTACTGTTATTAATGTTAGAGGAAAAAAACTGACCATCTCAGAAGATAGAGAAATGCATTTAAACAATTGCTTTTTTATAATGAAAATTATTAGCAAACATAACAGAGAATAACATAGGAGAATACTTTCAACCATAATTGATTTTGCCTCATAAGAACATCTGGCTATGTTAGGAGACATGCTTGACTGCCATAATTATGGCAGAGACCCTTTTAGTCACTTTACAATGCCCTGAAAAGAATTCTACAACAATGAAATATTTGGTCCCAAGTAGAAATCTTTGGCTGCCAAGATTTCAAAACTCTGTTTCACAGTGTCTTCCCAAAATGAACGTTGGGGCCATTGAGGAAAGACCACGACTTAGAGCTTATCCTTAACGGGATGGGTTAGTGACCGAGTATGATGGATGTGACAGTCTGCTGCAGTGTTGGGGCAGTGGTTTTAGGAGAGGTAAGGACGTAGGCTCTTGGGGCCATCTGGTGGAGATTACAGAGTACTAGATGTAAACAAGGTATCTACAAAAGTAGGTCCAAGTTCATCACACTAATTCTAAATTGACAAAATAATTATCATAGGAAAAAAAACTGCAACATGCTTGGACTTGCGAACTGTGCTTTGTTTGTTTGTTTGTTTTTTGGAAAGAGGGTTTGTCTGTGTTGCCCTGACTGTCCTGGAACTTGCTCTAAGACTCAAACTCACAGAGATCCACCTGCCTCTGCTTTTAAGTACTGGGATTTACAAGCACTGGAGTAAAGGCATGTACACCCCTCCCCCGGTGTGAACTGTGCTTTAAAGGGTGTCAAGAAGAATTGAAACTTGAGGACCTAAAGAAGCCAGGATTCACTAAATAGTATTCTCACATCTATTGAAGATTCTAATTTGATGTTCAGCATGTCACGTTAAGAAGAGAGTCTGGGAGTTGAAGATGAGTAAGTGCTGAAGTAGGTCTCTTGATGTTTTCCTGCTGGAACACCTGGGCACTTCATGTACCAAGGTTGCCATCATAACCAGGACTATCAGAACTGACTGTTTACACTGCTTTTGACTCAACAGAGAGAATAAATATAAATTTCATATGAGATTGATATTACACAAAACAGTAAGATTTGTGGTAGCTTTTCTGTGGGTTAGATATCAAACCCACATATTTTAGCAGTCACTTTGATTTATATTTTGTGTGTGTGTGTGGTGTGCATTTGGGTGTGGAGGCCAGAGGTTGGTGTTGGGAGTCTTCTTGGACTGCTCTCCACTTTATTGAGGCAAGGTCTCTTGATGAACCAAAAGCTTGGTGATTCCAGCTTTTATGTAGATTATGAAAGCCGGTACTCACACATTCAGGGCCAAGTACTTTATCTACTAAGCCATCTACCCAGTCCACAGATTCACCTGAAAGAGATTTATTTTTACTATCTTAGTTATGTGTATAGGAGTGTGCCTGTGTGTACAGATGAGTGTTAAGTCCCTGAAGAATTCAGAAAAAGGTGTTGGATCTCCTGAAGGTGGAGTTACAGGAAGTTGTGAGCCATCCAACATAGGTGTTGGGAACCAAGCTCAGCTCGTCTGCAGAAGCAGTTCCTGCTCTTAACCGCTGAATCATTACCCCCACCCCATTTCACTTTTAAATGAACAATGCACAGTATAAGGGGACCACACTGTCAGAACTTGGCCTATTTTAAAACTAGTATAATAATCCTCATCATACTATTCAATGTACTTGCTTTATAAAATAAGTAACAACAATTAAGTTGTTTTAACTCTTGCATATCAGGAGCTTGTCTTTACTTACAGTTGTCTACTAGGTAAATTCTGTTTACTGGATGAATGTTAGTAAAAACTATATGAGCCTAAATGAATTGTCAAGCTCTAGACCGTAAGCTCATGGAAATGGAAAACACTTGTCTTCTCCATGCCATGCGAATATTCTTAGGTGTGCACAGCCCTCTGTACCCTGTGTAGCATTGTTACCTTTTGTTTGGTGTTGCTGATGAAATGTAAAAACAATTCCTTAAAATCAATTATTAACATGTAGAAAAAAATGGAAAAAGGAGTATCTTAAGCCACCTAAATGCATGCATATCTCACTATATATAAAGTCCAACAGTGATCCCTCAATTTCTTTCTTTTCCCTGAAACAAGACTATATTATAGTGATATCATGTCAATATTACATCATAGACACTGCCACTACAATAATCAAGAGAAAAAAAAAGTAAAAATTCCCAGAAAGAAATCAAGGTATAAATGAAAGTTTGACAGAATTAGTGACACAATATTGACATACCAAATCAAAGGCATTAATTACTAGCCAACTGTCACAAACTATTAGGAAATAGCATATTTTTTTAAAAGGGTATCTTTCATAAGTGTAACAATAACTACAGAGTAGTAAGAATCAAGTAAACAAAACATATGTCCCTTTTTCTTATCAAAAAAGTAAGAAGTTCTGATGGGTGAAAACAAGCCTAACCTACCAAGGCATGCCCTCTTTTGCTCCAACCCTCTGTCCATATCCGACATAGAGCTACCAAAAAAGTTCGTCCACATGCCCAGATCCGCTGCAAATCTATAAACAACATGAAATCTCAAACTAGTTTCTTCCCTCTAAAGCCCACAGTCCTGTAGAAATGTTTGCCAATGACATTACTTAGATGAGCTACAGGGCGGACAGTTTAAAAGAACAATAATAAACAATAAACAATAATAAACAATAAACAATAATAAATTTCACCAAGGGATTCAAGTCTAAAGAAGACACAAAGAAACAGCTCAGTGAAACTAAGGAGAAAGAACTTGAGAATAAACCTGAGCGATGGCCAAGAAAACACAAACATAAGGCTGATAGAAACAATGAAGACAGTCCAAGACTTCAGAATGGAATCCAATAAATAGAACACGAAGAGGACTCAAGCCGAAATGAAGATGGAATTGAAAAACCCAATAACCCAACTAGAAAACTCCAAAGGAGAGCCTTCCGAGCAGAATGAATCAAGCAGAAGATAGACTATCAGGACTCAAAGATAAAGTAGATGATCTATCTATACAAAATAAGGAATATAAAAATAATTAAAGAAATACAGGAAAGGAGCACACAGGAAATGTGGGACACCACAAAATGGCCAAACCTTAGAAATATAGGCATCGATGAGTGAAAGGAATCCTAAGTCAATGGCATGATCAGATCTTCAACAAGATCACATAATTAAATTAGATACAAGAAGCCCACAAAACACCAAATACTCTAAGACCAGGAAAGAAAATTCCATGGCTCATATTTAGAGCAGTGCTAGAGTGTTGCACACTCCAACCTTACCAAGTCATCTCTTTAGCCCCAAAGACTTTTTTTTTTTTTTTTTTTGGTTTTTCGAGACAGGGTTTCTCTGTGTAGCTTTGCGCCTTTCCTGGAACTCACTTGGTAGCCCAGGCTGGCCTCGAACTCACAGAGATCCGCCTGGCTCTGCCTCCCGAGTGCTGGGATTAAAGGCGTGCGCCACCACCGCCCGGCAACCCCAAAGACTTTTAAAAAAATTTTTTTTTAAGACAAGGTCTCTTCATGTAGCCAAGACTGGTTATTTTTAAGGGCTGGCACACACTGGAAAAATTGGAGCTTGAAAAAAGCATAAAAAGTTTACTTCTTTTCTTTTTGAAAGCTACAAGTCAACATGTAGTAAAAGACATATTATTTTATCAATGTGAAACTCGGATTCTAAGATATATTCTAACCTAGTGTTAAGAGGACCACAAACATTTTATAGTGATATATGGGCATGACCAATGAGTAAGACTACAAGTTTTCAGATCATAAAGCCCCTTTTGACTGAATGTATCTGTATTCCACATTTTCTTAATAAAATCCCCCTTCTCACATTATCCTTTTCTTAAGAAGGCATGTCTTACTCACTGTAGATGTGGCCATAATGCTTTCTTTGGAGTGTAAACACCACCCCGGCATGAATACACAATTCAAGAAGGCAATACCATGTAAAGTAGGAAGAAACAAAGCCAAAAGACTGTATAACAAAAATTAAAGGTAAAATAGTACCTTATTTCATTCAGGGAACAATCTTAAATTAGTAGATGGATTCATGGGATACATATTAATCTATCTGAGTTTAATAATAAAGTCAGAATATTCTTATAGTGTTCTGCTTAGTTGCTTAGTCAACTAATTTTGTTAACTTAGTTAACTAATCTGTTGAGCAGGCATTTTCAATTATTAAAACAAAGCCAAATATACAGGTACAAAGTATTGATTAAGATATATTTATAGCAAATCTAGAACATGTAACATGCCTCTACTATTGAAACTTAGAATGAATTTCAAATATGAACGAATAAATCCATAATTTTTCAAAAGCAATCTAAAGGTATATAAACAAATCTGAAAAACACTGTCCCAGAAGAGCTTACATACATACAAGATCTGGTTGTTCCAAACTGATTATAGACAAATTAAAAATGTCTATGACTAGAGGAATATAAAACTGATAGTACACCAAAAATAGAATTTTATAAATTAGAATAAGTGAACAAATACATGAGGGCTATGAGAGAGAGCTTTACTACTTTTTTATGTGTACTGGTGTTTTTCCATGGCTGTCAGATCCCTTGGAACTGGAGTTACAGTTATGAGTTGCCATGTAGGTGTGGGGAATTGAACCCAGGTCTTCTTGAAGAGCAGCCAGTGCTCTTAACCACTGAGTAACCTCTCTAGCCTCTAAGGGTTAAAACAGTATTGTCTGCCAAGAGTCAATAGTTTAATTCTCAAAAATGTAATATAAAAGCCAGATTATTTACATAGTGTTTAAAAACTACCCAAGGAGTTCCTATATTGTTTACTGGAGTATGTATTTGTAATAAGAGTAAACAAAATGAAGAAGGTATTCTGAAGAAAGGATAAAAGGCATGGAAATAAGGAAACTACCTGAATTTTCCGTATTTTATTTCTTCTTTCAAAAGATCTTAAATTAATATGGAAAAGTATTATTATTTGTTAAATTTGGGAAGTAGGGATGTGGCTATATTTGTATTTGTTTGTTCATTTCAGAATCATGGCCAGTAAGATGGCTCAATGGATATGGGCTCCCAGGGCCAATATGATGGAATAAGAGAACTAATTCCTGCAAATTGTACTCTGACCTCCACATTCATTGGTTGACACAGACAAAAATAAATGAATGCAAAATTAATCAAATACATAGGAATAAAACAAATCTTAAAAAATTTGGTAGTAACTCTTCTAAAATGAAAATTACTTACAGGCCAAGACGGTGGGACAGAAGTTACTTCTGGAGTATGAAAATAAGCAACGCCATTATGGTAAGTGTAAGGATATCCAGTTGAAGTGGTTAGATACATTGTTCCAGCAGCAGGCATTATACTGGAACCTAAAACAAAGAATAAGTAAAAAATGAAAGTTTAATTTTATAAATATGTAATTTATGATCATATTTCAGAAAAATATTTTAAGATTTCTATATAGCTACAGTAAAAAGTATTTAAAAGTCTATGTATTACACTATCTTTGAAAAATCCATTTTTAGACTTACTACCTCAGAGCTTTTATTAGATTATTAGGAATTAAGGAATAAACAAGGTAAATAAATATTAAAATCTTCCAATTCAGATTCTAATATCAGTTTAATGAAACAATTTAATTATTAGTTAACTAAGTTATTATTTTTATAAGTATAAATTATATTGAGAACTTGAAAACTACAGACCCTATAGTAAAGTTCCTAAGATCTTGATTGGACCTATTTATAGAAGTTCAAAGATGATGGAGACAGTGAAGCTGGAGAAGATTCTAGTTTCCTAAAGGCACTTGGATCCATTTTAGCAATTCTTTGGGTTTAATATCAGCAGCATTGTTTCATGTTAGGACTCTCTTTCAGCTCTACTTTCCCTTTGGTTAAAACTTCTGCTATTATAACCATGACTATACTCCTTGATGCAGTTAGTCTAGGATTCCCCACCCGTTTGTTTTTCTAGTTCAGGTTTTACGCACGCTCGCTCGCTCTCGCTCTCTCATATTGTCATATGGCCAGTGTAGCCAATTGGTGAATACCAGGTTCAGTGAGACACTTTTGCCTCAAAAATAAGGTGGAGAGCATTAGGAGAGTATATTCTAGGTCAACTTCTAACTTCCACACACAAGCACCTGTGCACACATGCAAATATAAACATATACATACTATATACACAATATGTATATCATATGATCTAATTACACTATTTACCCACTGAGTACTACTCCTCCTTTTTGGTTTTTCGAGACAGGGTTTCTCTGTGTAGCTTTGTGCCTTTCCTGGAATTCACTTGGTAGTCGAGGCTGGCCTCGAACTCACAGAGATCCGCCTGCCTCTGCCTCCCGAGTGCTGGGATTAAAGGCATGTGCCACCACTGCCCGGCATGCCAGTGCTTCTTAACTTTAACATACATAAGAACTGCCTGGCCTACTTAAATACCAACTCTAGGTACACATCTCCAGAGACTTTGATTTAGTAAGCCTAAAATAAGGACCATAAATTTGCATTTTGAGCTCACATTTGAACCGACACTTTCTGCTCAAGTGGCATTTGATCTAGTATTGTTCCTATTTAGTTCTAATTCACATGTACATATGCACATATTTAATGTGTGTGTGTATAGGTCAGAAGATCAACTGTTTTTCACCTTCTATCATTTGAACTCAAGGGACTGACAGTCAAACCAGGTGGCCAGGACCTTATTCACTAAGCTATCTAGTTAGTCCTATTTTAGTGTTTTTCAAAAACCACCGTTGAAAATTTATTTGTATCCCCCTTCATCTCCTTCGGTTGTCTTATTGCGCTAGCTGAGTCTGCAATTACTATACTGGAATAGGTATGGAAAAAGTGGACATCCTTTTGAGTTTCTCTCTGTTTAGGTTCATGTTGGCTGTGGGCTTGCTATAAATTACCTTTGTTATGTTGAGGTATTAGGTCCCTTGTATCCTGAGTCTCTTCAGAATTTTTATCATGAAGGGATGTTGAATTTTGTCAAAGGCCTTTTTTGCACCTAATGAGATGATGTGGTTTTTGTCTTTCAGACTATTTATATGGTGGATTACATTTATTGATTCACATATGTTGAACCATCCCTGTATCTCTGGGATGAAGACTACTTTATTATGGTGGATAACCTTTTTGATGTGTTCTTGAATTCCGTTTGTAAGTATTTTATTGAGTTTTTTGTATTTATGTTTATTACGGATACTGGTCTGTAATCTCTCTCTCTCTCTCTTTTTTTTTTTTGGTTGGGTCTCTGTGTGGTTTAGGTATCAGGGCAATTGTGGCCTTGGAAAAAGAATCAGGAAATGGTCCTTTAGTTTCTACTTTGTGGAGTAATTTAAGGAGTAATGGTATTAGTTATTCTTTGAAGGTCTGATAAAATTATGTACTACATTCATCTGGACCTGCCTTGTCTTTTTTGGTTGGGAGATTTTAAATTACTGATTTGATTTGATGCAGAGCCATCTCTCTAGGGCCCTTCATAAGCGTTTTGACAAACACATGAAAAACCAGTAGAGAGCAGAATGTTAGGTAGTATAGGGCATTATATTGAATGTTTACATTATTTTACATGCAAATATGTGAACTTAATCTTCCTCTTCAATCTGTGGGGCATCTGTGAAGAATGATATATAAGCTGGGCTTCAAAGACAGAATGAGGTGTTAAAAAGAGCACTCGAGGTAAAGAAAACAGTGGTATGTATATCATAGAGTCTAGAGAAGTATGCCATGGTCTTGCTTCGAGAAGGCTTTTGGCACTGGCCCAAAAAGATAGGGGAATAGTTAAAAATAAGCTGAAGATAAAATGATGTAAGCCGATGTGTACTTTTTAAATATTGCTTTGGTTGTTTTATGCATGATTAAGCAGCAGCAGCAGCAGGCTGCATAGGGAAGTACCCATTAGGAGAGTTTCCCAGCAATGAAGGAAGGTAGACTGGAATGTTGAGAATGTAAGGCTGCTAATGAAATAAAAAAGAAATGACATATTTGAGAAAAAACTAATATGAATATCTTATAATTGTGGAAATAAATTTTAATATTTATTTTTATTTGCAGAGAAAATAAAAATACTTTTGGAGTCTAGAAGTCTTGGAATGAAGGCTAATGCCACCATTTGGCAAGTTAATCGTGTACTTCTCACATTAGATTATGGGGTGTTATACCAAGAGACAAGGTATAGGCTGAACATGGTGATGGTCTCATAGAGGCAGTTTAATTCAAACAATTGTTATTTTTGGAAAAAGTTTATCTTCAAATAAGCAAACAATCAATACTAAGAAACAGAATATAATTTATCCATGGAGATTTAACATTGGCTCTTTTGCTCATTAATTCTGAATAAACCATTTGTAAATTTGAAAGCAATCAGTAGACAATGGACCAAAGAACTGTTGATACATTTATTATAGCTAAATTCCCCCCCCCCCCCGAGACAGGGTTTCTCTGCGTAGCTTTGCGCCTTTCCTGGAGCTCACTTGGTAGCCCAGGCTGGCCTCGAACTCAGAGATCCGCCTGGCTCTGCCTCCTGAGTACTGGGACTAAAGGTGTGTGCCACCACCGCCCGGCATAGCTAAACTCTTAAAATAATCAGTATTCTGAAAAATTTCAGAATCCTGCTATATTTAGTACAATCATCTCTGTCTCTCTGTGTGTGTGTCTGAATACTTATAAACTTGCACGTAGAGGTCAAAGTTTGATGTCAAGTATCTTCTTCAATCACCTTGCATTTTATTTTTAGTGATGGAACCTTTCACAAACACGGAGGTCACTGATTTAACTAGATGGCTGGCAAGCGAGCCCCCGGATCTTCTGGTACCTGCCTCCCCAGCTCTGGGATTACAGGCACATGTTGCTGTGCTTTCCTTTTTTACATGGTTTAGAAGGGATCCAATTCAAGTTCTTATTCTTGTGCAAGCACTTTACTAAGACATCTTTGCCTAAGTTAATAAATGCTGAGCCAAAGATAAACTATTTGTTAACTGCTGTCAACAGAACACTTCAGTGACAGAATAACAGCCTAATGTTTCATCATCCCAGTAGACATACAATATGGCTAAGGAAAAATACAACCAAGTAACAATGTTTTGTAAACATTTTCTTTAACAAACTACAGAAGTGCTTAATATAAAAAGTTGAAAGTAGGAAAAAAAGATTCAAAGAATTACAAAAATTTGAGGAAGGCATACATAAAAGTTATCTAATTCCAAAGATTTAGTGATTGCTTTCTCGGATACTTAGGACATATGAGGTTTGATTAAAGAACTTATCATTCAGTTATTTTTTGTTATTAGTTATGTATTTTTACTTTCCATACTTTGGTTAATTTAAAATACTTTTATAATCATGAATACTTTTAATTAGAATTCTAAATTTCTTTAGCTCTTTTAAGTGATATTTTCGTTATAATTGTTTCCTTTGAATTTATGTCCAAGGGTGAAATATCTGTGTCTATATTGCTGTTCTATTTATAACAGCAAGGAAAGGGAATCTACCTAGAAGTCCATCACCAGATGAATGGATAATGGAAATGTGGTACATATACACAGAAGAACTTTATTCAGCAGTAAAAAATGAAATTATGAAAATTTCAGGAAAAGGAATGAATCTGTAATGTACTATCCTAAGTTAGATAAACCAGACTCAGAAAGACAAATAATGGTATCCTCTCTCTTATGCTTAGCCCAGGTGTAAATGGTTAGATGTGTGTGTGTGTGTGTGTGTGTGTGTGTGTGTGTGTGTGTGTGTGTGTGTGGTCATATAAACAGAAAGAGGCCTGTGAGAGGGGAAAACGCGGTGGTGAGGGCTGAGGAATAGGATGCCATGATATGACAATAGATAAAAAGCTACTTGGAGTAGAAGGATGGAGGGAAGGCAGGGAGATGTGGGAGAAACGGGCTTCATAGGAGGATCAACAAAACAAAGAATGTTTGAAAATGCTACCATAGAGAGCAGTGGTTCTCAACCTTCCTAATGCTTGACCCTTTAATACAGTTCCTTGTATTGTGGTGACCTCCACCATAAAATTATTTTCACTGCTACTTCATAACTGTAATTCTGCTACTGTTATTAAGTATAATGCAAATATCAGCTACATAGAATATCTGAGACCCATGAAAGGGTCATTTGGCCCCCCAATGGGGTTGCAACACACATGTTGTGAACTGCTGACATAGACAATTATTACCTAAAATATATAAAGAACAATCACAACAAAAAAACTGGACACCAAGAAAACACCCAACTAAAAATGGGGTACAGAACTAAAAAGAATTCTCAGTAGAGGAATCTCAAATGGGCTGAGAAATACTTAAATGTTTAACATCCTTAGCCATTAGAAAAATACAAATCAAAACTACTTTGATATTTCATTTTACAGCCATCAGAATGGCTAAGATAAATAAATGACAGCTCATTCTGTGAGAACTGTGAAGTAAGGACTTCTTCCATTGCTAGTGGGAATGTAAACCTGGTACAAGAAATCAGTGTGGTGATTCCTCAGGAAGCTGGGAATAGATCTATCTCAAGATCCAGCTGTACCACTCTTGGGCATATACTCAAAGGACTCTACCTCCCATTACCTCTCAACAACATTCATAGCAGCTTTATTTGTTAAAGCCAGAACCTGCAAACAGCCTAGTTGTCCACCAATATATGAATGGACAAAGAAAATGTGGCACATTTACACAATGGAAAATTATCCGGCTGTTAAAAAAGTCATGAAATTTGCAGGTAAATGGATGAAGCTAGAAAAAATCATCCTGAGTGAGCTAAGAGAGGTAACCCAAACCCCAGAGGACATAGTATGCTTTCTCTTGCATGCAGATGTTAGCTTTTAAGACTTTAAATAAACATGTTACAATCTGTATAATCATGGATCGCAGGTTTAGAGTAAGGGACGAGGTGAGAAGAGGAGGATTCCCTAGGAAGATAGAATATATAGTTATGGAGAGATGGGGGTGTGGGGAGAGACTGAAATGGGAAGATTGGGGTAAAGAAGATAAAATGGAGAGGGACAAGTAACATTAAGGGCCATTTGAGGGGTCATATGGAGATCTACTACAGCAGAAGCTTCTTAAAATACACCCATTTATCAAAGAAGTCTAAATGAAGTCACCAAGTAATGAGGGAGAGGATTATATCCCAACTAGAGACCTCTAGTCACTAAGTAAAGTCTACACGGCCAGGAATGGGTTATGTCTGAGTTGTTGACCGAAGGGGCTCAAGTAGAAATCCTCAAACAACTCAGGCGATTGCCGAGACTATTGTTTGCTCTCCACAAACTGATGGTAAGTGTTCAACACAACACTGAACTATCTTATTGAACACAGAAAAGTTGAGCTGGTGCCTACCCACAGCCTTCACTCCTACTGACTAGTGTTTGAGGTACTGAAAAGTACTCTGCATGTCTACAACCCTGCAGTCTACCACAGTTAGCTGCCTGCAAGATACCCTGTGCAAGAGTGGAACCAACGTGAGAGTCCCCCACTATCTCAGTGGACTTCAGCCCCATCCCACAAGATGGAAGCCATGACTGACACGGCTGGGGTGGTGACCAGATAGGCTAAAGAGGCACAGCAATAAGATGACTCCTAATGACATTCTCCTATACCTACAGATCAGTGCCTTGCTCAGCCATCATCAGAGAAGGTGATCATCCCTCCTGCAGGAGATGGGAACTAATACAGAGACCCATGAGAGGACAATGTACAGACAGAGAGTGACAGACTTTGGAAACACTTTTGGAATATCTTAAATGGGGTATCTTCATCAACTCTCCCTCCCTTCCATCAGGGCTCAGGGAGCTATGTAGAATAGGAGGTGGAGATGCGGGGTGGCTAGGGAGTGGGAGGAGGGAGGAGGGGGGGGATCTGTGGATCGTATGTGGAATGAGTAGAAAATTTAATAAAGAAATATGAGGTGGAAAGATTCCAAGAGCTAGGTGGGATGAACTGACAGCAAGGAAACAGTGTTGGACACAACAGGACTGGCCCCACACAAACGCAGACAGCAGTAGCATGCACAGGGCCTGCACAGGCTCAAGCCAGACCGGGTCCCAGCGTTAAGGGGAGCAAGTGGACGTGAGCTCCCATCCCTAACCAAGCAGCTCTCTGCAGTTGACAACTGCTTACAAAGGCAAACTGTTTCCCCAATGGAGCTTCACTGGGTATACAATCCACACTTAAGAGGAGGCTCCATGCCCAGCAGCAGAGAGCCAACACAAAATGAATTTAACAGTATTTCTGTAGGTTTTTTTGACCTCAATATTGTTTTATTTGGACAATTTTTAAAAAATCTTATTTATCTTTTACTTGTATATTCTGCTTTCTGACTCTATTTTTTTTTTTTTTTTGGTTTTTCGAGACAGGGTTTCTCTATGTAGCTTTGCGCCTTTCCTGGAACTCACTTGGTAGCCCAGGCTGGCCTTGAACTCACAGAGATCCGCCTGCCTCTGCCTCCCAAGTGCTGGGATTAAAGGCGTGCGCCACCACCGCCTGGCCTGACTCTATTTTTATGGGTTTTGTTTTTGTGTTTCTGGTGCTTTTTCACTTTTTAAAAAATTATTTATTTTTTACTTGCCTGTTTGTCTTCTAAAGAAAGAGAAGGAAAGAAGGGGTGGAGTTGGATGGGTGGGGAAGACCTGGGGCAGGGTAAACCACGATCAGAATATATTGTATGAATTTTCAATAAAAAGAAAATGCTATCATGAAGCAGTACTTTTTATGCTAATTAAAAAGAATTTTTCATTTAAACCACCATTATATAGAATATATTGTTCATGCATATTTCCCCTACACCTCAAACTAAGATATTTTAATTTTTAAAAAATAATTATATAGCTACCAATTTTGCTAAAATACCTTACATAAAGAAACAAGGTTATTTTAATAAAAGGTCTAGAAGAGTCTAATATTTCACAAAAACCATGTAAAACATTAAAAAACACATTAGTTCTCAATACATACGAGGAATCCCTACTTGTTGTTTTCTTATTGCTGGACCAATGTTCAGTTTCTTATCCTTATAATTAAGTTTTTCAGCCTAAAATAAAGGAAAAAGCCCATCACCATGATTTGTAAAATCATTTGACACCATGCTTTATAAAATCAGTGAAGAAAAACCGCTATGAAACAGCAGACATTGTGTGACATTTTTTCTTTTTTCTTTTTTTAAATACAAGGTCTCATGAACCCCAGGCTGTCCTCAAATCTGATACATCATCATATGACTTTGAACTTCTGATCCTTTTGCCTCTACCTCTCAAGTGCTGCGATTACAGGCATGTGCCACATTGCCTGGCTTATGTAGTACTGGGAATCAAGTATGCCTCAAAAAATGGTCTGGGTTCAAATAACTATCTTTATCTTGGTTCTACTGCTATGAATCTAGGTGATGTAGTAACCATCATCATTAGTTACTGATTATGTATTTGCAACTTAGATATTCTCTAAAATTTATTTACAATTTCCAAACCACTATTTGTAGTTATTTTAAGATCATTTGTGGACATGTACAGAAAATGTGAGTAGTCCAACACAAAAGAATCCAGTTAAGATCAAAGTGATGTTGTCTCTTCCTATCGATATCATATTCTAATCAAGTGTCCTTTTTAGATATGCTTTTCACATTATGTGAAATAAATAAAATGGCTCACAGGTATTAAAAGTACTAGCTAATGTTCCTAAGCACATGAAGGTTGTCATATATTTTACGGAGAAATGTATTGTTATGCTGAATTCAGGTATTATAGTCCCACTGGCTATGAACACAGTGTTAATGATTAACAATTATTAAATATGTTGTTTATTATGGCTTCAATATGAAGTATCCACTCCCCTCCCAAAAAAGTTCATGTGTTGAATACTTTGTCTCAACTGATAGATTCAACCATAGGAGGTGATCAGATGGTAAGGGATCGGATTTAACAGATTACTGCTGCTGGGTTAATAATCTGATACCAGTATTGGGAGATGACTTAGCTGGAGGAAGTAAGTCTTGGTATGAATATTCTTGAGAACTATAGCTTATCATAGATCTCTTCCTAAGCTAGTCTCTGCTTCCTGGACATTCACTGTCCTAGGCCCACAGCAATAGACTCAGCCAGCCATGGCTGAAACCTATGGCCCCATGAACTGAGACCATCTTTCCAGTCTCTCTCAGAACTTTGTGACAAGCAATAAAAAGTTTTGCTAACACCATTTCTTTAAATAGCAACACATGAAGCCAGGTTCTATGTTGATGTACTGGTGGCAATATTGTGACTAAAGGTCTTTTGGAACCTTATCTTGTATTGTAACTAGGAACACCAGAAGTTCAGTATCCACTTATCCAGTTACATGGTGACTTCATAGGATAAAAGTGGATAAAATCTGACTGTGTATTATCTTATAATACATAATTTAACTATCTTTTTCTAAAAAGGTTAAATGTTATACTTGCCATAAGTTAAAAGATATCAAAATGAACTATAGGCCATAGACAATTATATTAAAGAATGTTACTGGTTTATGTAGTTTTTCATAGGAAGGAAATAACACCAGGTAATTTTATTCTAGAAATCTACATTTGTAGTGTTTCTTAAGAATTATATAAAACCATTTACATATCACAGAGATACATTCTTAAATTACTAGTTTAAGTAAATAAAATAAAATATATTATAACTTAACAATCATCCTCATGAAATGACTTGGAATGTCTTGTTCTTCAGACTGTTTCTTAGAGGCCAATGGCAATCTTAAGATACCTATAAACACATACATGTACATACATATATGTATATATACATATATGTAGATCACTAGCTTATCCTCTACCATTATATTATCATAAGAAATTAGTTCCAAAGAAAGAAGTTGCAAATCAGAAGTTAACTACAGTGAAAGATCTTACCTCTTGTAAGATTTTTTGTGCATCTTCTTGAGTTTCAAAAGTGATGAAACCATACCTAAGTAAATGCATTAAATTATTAACATTTTCTTAGAATATTACATTAAATTTTATCTTGCAGTTCTGACGATTGAATGTAGGGCCTGTAAGTTTTTTTAAATCACTGAACTATAAGCCTAAACCTGTAATGACAATTTTAATTTGTAAGTATTGCCACTGTAGGTATGCTGCCTCAGCGTGGGACCATGGATTAATACTGTCATCCTTGCTTGTCAAAGAGACAGGGAGGAATCTTCAAACAGTATTAGCATTTTGATGCATTCATGTTCTGCCTTAGAGATTGGGATGCAGCAGATTTCAGAATAGGGCCATCATCTTTGGCGCCTTTTTCTCTCCCCCACTCCACATTGTGGATGAAACCCAAGGCAAGTGCTTTGAATAAAATGAATACATTTTTAGCCCTGTAATTTCCTTAAAAACAAGCAAATAAAAAACCCAACCAACCAACCAACCCACCAACCAACCAACCAAACTTATAAAAATAACATGTTTGCCTTAGAGGAATCAGAGTAGAAAAATGTTAACAATAAAAGTTTCAATACAAAATTCCTTATACTTGTATAGATCTTTACAAATCCATCATATAATTATTGTTACACATAAACTAGCAATATAACTATTAGTATATTTTGCAAAGAGCAATAAATATACAACCTAAATTTTTTTTTTGTATTTGATTTTTATATGCGAATAACCCCAGCAATCAGGAAGCAGAAGCAAAAGAATTCTAAATTCCAGCTCAGACGGGGATATACAGCAAAACTGTTTTCTAAGGGTTAAAAAAAAGGAAAAGAAATAAGATACATGTAATGATGTATGTCATGCTAAACTATAGGAAAAATGAAATAAAGTACATAGCTAACATGTATGAGTCCTGTTTAGATATTAAATAATGCTAAACATCATGATTACCATTTTACAACTGATAATTATTGTTTAATAGTATTCCTTCTTGTTTAATGTTTATTTTTGTGCTGGGGAAGAAAGGTCCTCACTCATTCTATGCAAGTGTTCTACTACCTGGCTATACCACTAACATCAAAGTAACTTTTTTTTTTTTTAATTTTTATTTATTTATTTATTTATTTATTTTTCCATCACAGGCAATTTATTTTGTTCTATTCATTCACAGTTAATACAGAAAAAACTTGGAAACATTTCCATATAATGTTTGACACAGAAATCATCAAATAGAAGTATACAATGTTGACAGGAGGCAGTACATTTATAATTTATAACCCCAAATGTATT